TTTTTTATTATTTGATATTTTTTCTTCATTTTATGCTATTAAAACTTACACTTAATAAAAGCTATTTATTTGTTTTAGATTGTAAAATTTTTAATTATAAAAGTTAATTTAAAACATTATAGTTCTTTTAATTTATTCAATTTGTTTTCTTTATTCTTTTTATTATGATTTCTTATTTTTTCATTCTTTGTTAATTTTATTAATTATTAATTAATCTTATCATCTTTTTCTTCATTTATTCCTCCAAATTAACTTGAGTGAAATACCTATTTAATTTATATCATAATAAAATTATTAATAAAGCTAATTTTTAGAAATCATAACATATCTTTTTTTTTGAAAAAATAAATTTTGAAAACCTATGATGGAAAAAAATTCATAAAAAATATTTAAAATTTTAATTTTATAAAATATAAAAACTGGTATATAAAACTCCCTTTTTGTAAATTTGTATGGTAACTTACTCTATTTAATGATATATTTTTTCTTCAATATTTAAAAAGTTACAAATACATTAGTGCAATGGGTGCATCAGGCTTAGGTTCTGCTTTAGCAAATTGCATTAATCTCTCAAAATTGAGACTTTACCTTCGGTAAAAACAGTTTATTTGTTTTGGATTGTGATATTTTTAATTATAAAAACTAATTAAAAACAATAAAGCTCTTTTTTCTTTTTATTGTGCTTGCTTTTTTTTGTTCTTTCTTTGTTAATTAAGCTCATCATTTTATTTTCTACTTTTGCTTTTATTATTAATTAATCTTATTATTTCATATTTTTTCCTCATTTTTTCCTTCTAATAAACTATTTAATCATATATTTTTTCTTCAATATTTAAAAAGGTCTAATTATATTGGTGATATGGGTGCATAAGGCTTAGGTTCTGGTTTAGCAAATTGCATTAATCTCTCAAATTTGACACTTAACCTTCGGTAAAAACAGTTTATTTGTTCTGGATTGTGATATTTTTAATTATAAAAACTAATTAAAAACAATAAAGCTCTTTTTTCTTTTTCTTTTTCTTTTTATTGTGCTTGCTTTTTTTTGTTCTTTCTTTGTTAATTAAGCTCATCATTTTATTTTCTACTTTTGCTTTTATTATTAATTAATCTTATTATTTCATATTTTTTCCTCATTTTTTCCTTCTAATAAACTATTTAATGATATATTTTTTCTTCAATATTTAAAAAGTTACAATGAAATTGGTGCAATGGGTGCATCAGGCTTAGGTTCTGGTTTAGCAAATTGCATTAATCTCTCAAATTTGACACTTAACCTTTGAGTAAAAACAGTTTATTTGTTTTGGATTGTGATATTTTTAATTATAAAAACTAATTAAAAACAATAAAGCTCTTTTTTCTTTTTCTTTTTCTTTTTATTGTGCTTGCTTTTTTTTGTTCTTTCTTTGTTAATTAAGCTCATCATTTTATTTTCTACTTTTGCTTTTATTATTAATTAATCTTATTATTTCATATTTTTTCCTCATTTTTTCCTTCTAATAAACTATTTAATCATATATTTTTTCTTCAATATTTAAAAAGTAGCGAATTAAATTGGTGATAAAGGTGCATCAGGCTTAGGTTCTGGTTTAGCAAATTGCATTAATCTCTCAAATTTGACACTTAACCTTCAGTAAAAACAGTTTATTTGTTTTGGATTGTGATATTTTTAATTATAAAAACTAATTAAAAACAATAAAGCTCTTTTTTCTTTTTCTTTTTCTTTTTATTGTGCTTGCTTTTTTTTGTTCTTTCTTTGTTAATTAAGCTCATCATTTTATTTTCTACTTTTGCTTTTATTATTAATTAATCTTATTATTTCATATTTTTTCCTCATTTTTTCCTTCTAATAAACTATTTAATCATATATTTTTTCTTCAATATTTAAAAAGTGAAAATTAAATTGGTGAAATGGGTGCATCAGGCTTAGGTTCTGGTTTAGCAAATTGCATTAATCTCTCAAATTTGACACTTAACCTTTAGTAAAAACAGTTTATTTGTTTTGGATTGTGATATTTTTAATTATAAAAACTAATTAAAAACAATAAAGCTCTTTTTTCTTTTTCTTTTTCTTTTTATTGTGCTTGCTTTTTTTTGTTCTTTCTTTGTTAATTAAGCTCATCATTTTATTTTCTACTTTTGCTTTTATTATTAATTAATCTTATTATTTCATATTTTTTCCTCCATTTTTTCCTTCTAATAAACTATTTAATGATATATTTTTCTTCAATATTAAAA